GATTTTCAAAATCAGTGAAAGATTCATCCCCTACCTGAATTGCTTGATCACACATGACAACAGCTTTTCGTTTAACAGCTGCAGGATGTATGCAATTACGTGTACAGCCACTCCTGTTGCACAGTTTGTGTAAAGTGTCATTGCTGCCAGATGTTAGTTTTAAAGCTTTCTCTTTGGATATTTGCAATGATAACTTTTTTATCCATTCTAGTCTTTCTTTAGTTGGATCCAATGAGAAAGCACTCATCAAGCATTCCAGAGCAACTTCTTTATTGATAGCATTGAATAATGTGAATAGTTTAAAATACATAGCTGCCATATGATTCTCGATCTCTATCACATATTCTTTATTGTCAGCTTGTCTTGCTGCTTCCAAAAAATTGAGATCTGATGTCAATCCTCTTATGTACATTTCCAGATAAAGAGGTAAGAGAGCTATTCCAAACTGCAAAGAACAAATAAAATGATCATAAATCATACAATTGATTTCAAAATTCTAAATACAGAATATAAAATTTTTTTAATTTGATTAACAAATTATATTTTTATTTAAAACACAAGAATAAGTATATACTCTCTAAAACAAGCCATGGCAACCTATGGCATGCATGCCACATGTGGGACATAGAACAATTATCAGTTGCACTCTACACCTTTCTAGAAAATTATGAGATAATTTAAATCGCTCTGTCTTTCCTCTCTATTCCTCAAGTACTTTTATTTAAAGGTTATTTCTTACTTGCAATTCTTCGTCATAAAAGGATCCTGCTGAATCTGCTTGCTTATAGTTTTGTGTGATTTATGTATAAACAAATATAAATAAATATAATATAAAAAAAATTAATTCAATTCCTACTTAGGTCAACAAAGAAAAATTTTATTTTAGTTACTTTTTTTATTAAATAGTTACAATTAATATAAATATATATTAATTGTTATTGTTGTATTATTATCATTATATACATATGAAAGAATCACAATATTAAGTGACAAAAAAGAATGCGATTTTCCTTACAATTTCCCTTTCTATTATTTGACTATTTTTTTTGTTTGATACTATTCATTAATTAAATTAAATTACTCTAATTAAATAATATAGTAAAAAAGAATTCACAGAAATTAGGCCATCCTAGGCGGAATTCGAACCCACAACCTTTGAATTAGAAGTCCAATGTGCTATCCATAGCACTACAGGTACACAACGAACGATTTCCCTTTCTATAGATGCTATTGGATTATTATTTTGCTTGTTACTATTTATTCATTTTTTAATTTATCTTAAAACTATTAAAATTCGTAGGTTAACAAATGTATCTATCTATCAATGTATGTGTGTCTATCTTCTCACGAACCAAATGACGCAGAAATTCTCGGAAGGTACCGAAAAATCGGGAATGATCTGAGGAAGCCGTTTTCACAATTCATATTCCGATTTTGTAATTAGTTAAAATGGTAATTAAAAACCTTAAAACGCCTAATTGTTTTACTCCTGTGTGTTGTTTTTATACGCCTAGCCTCCTGAAGGACCAGGAGGTGAAATTTTTCGGTACTCCCTACGTTATTTAAAGTGTGATCTAATTTTGACTTTTCAAATCAGACAAAAAATAATTACAGAATCGGAAAGATCATTTATTTCGCCACGATATGGTATAATTTCTTTTTTACAAAATTATGATATTTTCTATTTCAGACGATTTTTTAAAAAAAATAAGTTAAAACTGATGCGTTTTCATGAATGTTATTTCTAAATTGTTGCGCATGAATTTATTTTTGTGTTATTAAAACGATATTTTTTACTAAATAAGTTCATGCTTTTCTCTTTTAGAATCAGTCATTTAACAAATAAAATGCCGAAAACTTTTTTTTATTTAAAATTTAAGCTAAACATTGAATAACTCCGTCATTTATAAAGCTTATCGTACGAAACGTTTTTGCAATTGTAAAACGATGTTGTACAACTTCTGTGCGAAAATTTAAGAAATTGCTTAAAAATTGCGAATTTTAAAAAAAATTGTGATTTTCATTAAATACTGTTTTTGCAAGAAACAATTTAAGCAGTATTTTTGTTACATTTTTTCTTTAAAAATTATTCTTCTTTTCAATCGATGTGTGAAATTATGAAATTTCAACTTAAAAATTAAACCCTTAAAATAATGAAAACTTCAAAAAACATTCAAAAGATTTTTTTTTTTTTGCGGATGCGCATGCACGGTAGAAGAATCAGCGAAGGTCACTGTAGGTTAGGTTTCAGTTTAGAAATAAGGCGGGTGAAAGGAGGGGGTGTTTTCAGTGATGTAAGATAGAGGGAATTTCGCCATGTTACGCTGGCTCCTTGCCTGAGTTAATTATAGAAGCATTTCATTCATTACAGATAATTGTTTTAAAGTGCAGGCTTTTATTTTTAATAACAATTGATACTTTTCTTCATTCTTGAAGAGTTATTTATATTGAGGAACAGTGGAAAGAAAAACACCTAAAAAATATTGAGATAATTTTGAAAAGTAGTATTCTGAACATTTTCAAAATATGTGGAATCCTGAAGATTTTAATGTAGTTTAATGTTTAAAATATGGTGGTTGAGTGAAGTGATTCACAAATAAAAAGAATAAATAAAGACTGTGAGGTAAACATATTATTGAACGATGATCTGTTTTTTCTTTGCATTTTATATTTCTGGTGATATTTTGATTTTATGCTGATGTTGCGCTTGTTATGATAGTTTTATGTGTTATAGTTTATACAAAAATGTAAACATTAATACATTTTTTCATTTACCTAACACTTCTTATAACAATATTACTTAAATAATGAAAAATATTTTACATGCGAGTAAAATAATGAACAAAACATAATTAATCCTTTCTTTTTAATGAAATAGCTGCATATTATCTTTGAGAAATATAATAAAACTGATAATCTTTAATTTTTTTTTTTTAAAAAAGGTAGTTTTAAATGTTAAAAAAAATAAAATAAGACATAATCAACCAGTTTTTTTATTGAAATAGCTGCATATTATCTTTGAAAAATATAGTAAAACTAAAAATCTTTATTACTTTTTTTTAACATTTAAAACTACCTTTTTAAAAAAGAATTACACTTTTATCAATTTAATTTGTCATGTTTTACATTTAATTTATAAATGCACATATATGGCACAAATTCCACAGAAAAATAAAAGCTACGTTCATATATTATATGTTTCATTACTAATTGCCAGCCAAACTTTTTATGCCTTATAATGATACTTCAAGCATTCTCTAAAATTACAAAAGTAATTTTCATTTCAAAATATTTTTTCCTTTGTTTCAATGAACATAATGTAATTTTGTAATACATTTTTAATTTGCATACCACTTATAACAATATTTCTTGAATATTATAAATAATGTACAAAACACAATTAACCAGTTTTTTAATGAATTAGCAGTGTATTATTATCTTTGAAAAATATAATAAACCTAATATTTAATTTTTTTAAACAAGTATTACAAAAAAAAAATTTTTTTAAGTCAATTCCTACTAAGATCAACAAAGAAAAATTTGGTTTTAGTGACTTTTTTACTAAATAGTTACAATTAATATAAATATGTATATACATATGACAGAATTACAATATTAAGTGACTAAGTACAAAACAATTTTTCTTTCTACGAGGTAAATAAAAAAGTTCTTGCCATTTTTAGTGACACAAAAGAACATGACATACAAACAGCGTAGCCTATTGTTAATCCTCGAAGTAATCACCATCGGCATCCAGCACCTTTTGCCAACATGGTCTCCAGTTGTTCAATCCCCTTGAGGTAAAACTCGGGGGTGTAAGAGCTTGGTGCATGTCTGCTTCATTGGTGAAGGATTTACCACAAAGATGATTGTCCAGGGAATGGAAGAGATCGTAATCTGATGGTGCAAGGTCAAGTGAGTAAGGAGGATGGCACAAAGTTTCCCAACCAAGTCGCTGTATCGTATTCCTGGCCACCCACGCGACATGCGGCATCACGTTACCATGCAATAATAGTACACCCTTTCGATTAACCAGTGATGGCTCCTTCTGATCCAATGCCTGTTGTACACGTTCCAATTGCTGTGAAAACAGGTCCGCAATGACCGTTTGGCCCGTTGGTAGCAACTCATAGTGAACCACTTGACGACAAGTCCACCAGACACAAAGCATAATCTTTCGTTGGTGCATAGGTGGTCTTGCACTATACGGGACAGTATCCTGGGGTGACAACCAATGTTTGGAACACTTGGGTGTGTCATACAGGACCCACTTCTCGTCACTAGTCAGTACCCGATTGAATATGGATGCGCTATGGTGGCGAGAAAACAACGATAAACAGGCTACCACTCATTGTTGCTTATGGACTTCCAACAGCGTGTGAGGAACCCACTTGCTCAGCCTGTACGTCTTACCTAAGCATTGCAGATGAAATCTAACCATTTCACTGGAAGTGTTGAATTGTCTGGCAAGTTCACCACAGGTTTGACTACTGTCCACCTCAATGGCAACCTGCAGGGCTTCGTCATCCAAGGCCTGTCCACAGAGGGACAAATCTCCTGACCTGAATTTTCGAAACCAATGCCTTGCCGTACGTTCATTGACAGCACTATCCCCAAACGCTTGACATATTCGGTGACTTGATGCAGCGGCTGATAAGCCCACTTTGAAGTCATAAGCAACCCCAAACGAGCTCCTTCGATGCGTCCATTTCACTTTGCTACAGTACAAGTTCCGATTCATGAATGCGAGCAGTGGACCTGCGTTTATAACAACTGATATTCCTACTCTCGACTGACGGTTTCTCAATCACGTCATACATGAATTTGAATACTTATTCTCACTTCTTTCAATGGAAATGTGCCAAAAGCAAGAACTTTTTTGTTTACCTTGTATATATAGTGTTGGACTATTTTTTGTTTGTTTGTTACATTTATTCATTAAATAAATTTAATTATTTTAATAAAATAGTACAGCAAAAAAATATTCTCAGTAATTAGACCATCCCAGGTGAGATTTGAACTCACGATCTATGAATTAAAAGTTCAATCTGCTATCCATTACACTATAGGGACACAACGAACGAATTTCTTTTCTATATATGCTGTTAGACGATTATTTTGTTTATTATTTATTCATTTTTTAATTTAAATAATTAATAAATATTTAAAAATCTGTATTAACATCATGTGTCAACCACTTCAAGTCTTAAAATATGTATTTGAACTTGAATGGATGAATTGAAAATATTTTATTAAATGATTGAAAATTTGAACAATATATATATAGAGAGAGAGATTGAACTAAATGTAGGAATTGAAAAAGAATATTAAAAATGCTAATTTTTTTAAAGGAAGGGAAAATTTTCAGAAGTTGAGAAAGCCTGGTCAATGCCAGGCTATGCAGCTAGAATATTGTTATTAATGACAGTTATAGAAATCCCTCACAATGCACATGTACACACAGAGAAGTGCTACAGTCATGAGGGAAAGGAGAAATTCACATGAGGATTAATTTGATTTTGAGGTTAAATAAAAGCCTGTGCAACGTCGAGCTATACAGAGGGGAAGAAACCCATACAACCAGACAAAGCAGTCAAAACAATTTCGAAAAAGGGAATTTCAATGGCATATAAAAAAAAAAGAAATCGCACCCACCCCTGGACGTGCCGATATTGAAAAGTTAGATTCTCGGTAAAAGCCTGTGCGGCTAGTTTAATGAATTAATATTTGAAAAAACTGTATTAGCATCAAGTGGCATCCTCTACAAGTTTAAAAAATGAATTTCAACTTGAATGGATGAACAGAAAGTATTTTATTAATTACTGAAAATTTGAACAAGATATATATATAAATAAATAAATATAGGGAGAGAGTGAACTAATAGTAGGAATTGAAAAAAAAACAGTCTCTGTTTAAATTGAAATCATTCTTAGGGTTAAATATTAAATTTCAATTAAAACAAGTATGAAATATTTGTAAAATGAAACACCACACGTTGCTGCATCATAAAAAAAAATCTTCAGAATTATTGAAAGCAAAATTTATAGGATTTTGGAAAGATCTGTCAGTAAATAAATAACCATTTTAAATTGCTGTATGTCATTGCTGCTGCAATTTAACTGTTTAAAGAAATTTGCATGTGCTCTGCTTTGCCGCTTTTGATTCTACATATATATGCAAACAATTTTTTCTCATATGAAATATATTTTGAGTTACAAAGAAGTTTTTAATAACTGAACATTAAAAATTATAAACAAATTGAAAGACACAAATTATACCCCTGATACAGTGATATTAAGTAGAGTTTGCAGGGATAAGGTTCGCATTAACATTAAATTTTTATTGAAATACATTGTAGGAATACTTATAATTTATGTTGTTTATTCCTCATTTTAATAAATACTCTTATAAAATACAAAATATAAGTACAATTTAAATTTTTTATTTATGTTGAAAGAAGTTACATTCTATGTTGCTTATTTTTCATATTAATAAATACCTTTTAATGTTAAACAATTAACATATGATATAACTCTAAATCTGTATTTTTGACCATTCCCATGCAATAATCGAATTGTTTAAAATATTTCCTATTGTGCGACACTCAAAATCACATGGGTTTGGCTTACCACAGCTTTACGGTTGCCGACCTGTTCTAAAACATAAAAATTTTACACTATGATCCAATTATATGAGAAAAGTAAAGATAAAATTATCTATACTTATTATCAAATACATTTTATACTTACTTTTCCCCACAGAATATCCACAAATAAGTAAAAATGTGCACTAAATGAGGCATGTCCAACAAGAAGTTTTCTTGCTGATTCTTGAATTTCAGAAACAGTCTTTTGTTTTTTTGCTTGAAATTCACACCACAGCTTCATCAATTCCTAAAATGGAGGAAAATATTGTTTACATCTCTTAGCAGATAAATGTACAAAAGCTAAAAGTTATCAAATAAGCAAAACTATAATATAAATAATTATGTCAATCAACACAGAAAAAAAACGAAAAGTTAAAAAATATAGAAGTCAGTAAATGATTTCAAATGAAGGAAATGTTACTTAAATTGAAAACGACTTACACTTGTACAGCAGTAATTTGACTTGAAAAGTAGATCACGAACAAGAAATAAATTTATCAAAGTTTCTGTTAAAGGCTCGGCATCCTCCATTGAAGATTGGAAAGTACGATATATGAGACGAACACCATCATGGCAACTACATGCAGAAGACTGTTTAAAAAATCAAAACTTTACAAAATGAACTGATGAATTCAAATATTATCATATATTAACTGAACTTTTTATGAATCATTTAAAAATATATATTTATATAAGGTTATCATATTCTTATACTGAGAAAGACGAGTTCCCTGTCACGAAAGATACAAGTATCTTTTTTTTTTAATAATCAATGCAATGTATTTTTTATTTTTCAGATGAAGGTTTGTTTTGAGACAGAAAGAGAAATTTAGACACATGAAATATTACCGTAAATCATTAAATAACTGGAAATATTTACAACCCATATATCCAGCTGCAACTTAAAAAGTTGATTCTCTATTTCAAAATATTAGCAAATACTTCAATTACTCAAACTTAACTACATAAATAAAAAGATAGGCATAGATTTTCACTATTATATTTTGCAAGACAATACCCAAAAGGTCAAATCTATGATTGATACAATTGTTAATACTTAGACAGAGCATTCTGCACATCAGCAATACTAAGCAAAAACATTACTATAATTTCTAGAGCACCCACCATACACAGTATCATAGATGTCAGCTTTCAAAGCAAAACATTTATTTGTTTGTTTTCTTTCAAATTATTAAGAATTTTAACTGTAATTTCACTTATTTTACACAATTAATAATTTTAGCTTACAAATTTTCATTCTAATTATCAAAATAATGAACAATAAATATTTTTACATTGTAAAAGTTGCTAAATCTATAAAGGCAACAAAAGCAGAAAGCATATAAGATCTTAGGGCATGCATTGCAATATGAGAGGCTAATGCTGAATTTGCAAAGGTTTTTAAAAACATACACGGAAAAGATGTTGGAATCTGAACAAATTTGGCGTGGAAAGGAAAAAAATACAGATATTGTGGTGTGATAAAATATTAAACACAAGACTTTTCCTCCAGCAAAACTTCCAGCTTGCTGTTCAGCTTCATAAAAAATTATGAATGAATTTTACCAATATAACATCTTTAAGCACAATTTGTGTGCATTTCTTTCTTCTTTTTTTTTCAAGTTCAGTTTTAAAACAGTATCATAATTGGAATTTAAATTCCTGTGCAAACTATACATCATACTTCCCATTTTGCTGTTCTTGAATATAAACATTGTTATTTATCTTTGAGCATGTCTATAAATGAACATTTCCTCTAAAATATAATAAAAAAATTTTATCTTCAGTATGAGATAAGCTCATTTTATAAACATAACAAATGTCATAAACCTTAAAAATTCAACAGAAATATATCAGTTAAACGCATAACTTATATAACTGGATGAAGAATTTAAATAACTTCAAAATAAGCAAATAAAAACATACTGCAAAACTAATAAACAAAATGAAGACAAGCAAATACTAATTTTAAAAAATTGTACTTCAATATTCCAAGATTCAAAAACAAATCATGAGAACTTAATGTCAGAGATAATTGGTTTGTGCTCCCACAAAAACAATACCTGAACTTAAAAAATTCAATTTAAATATTATTTGCAGTTGAAAATAATTCACTAACCTTATAAATGTAAACAAAGAGAAGGAGAGTAAAAATATAAATTAGCAGTTGAAAACCTCAACTGTAGAGATATATTTGATTCATATAAGCATATGGTAGGTCTATTTACACACAAATAAAGTATACACAAATTCAATAAATTCTTTTTAAAAAAATATTTTTTTTTTCATTATATTCTGTAATTATGTAAAAATTAAGTAAAATTTTGATTTATTTATTTAAAGGTGCAAAATATAGAATCACAATTTAATTATGTATGTTAACAACACAAAATTTACAAAATATCAAACAATTTCAAGAAAATCGAGCAAATTACAATTAAAAACATAAGTATTGTAGCCAAATTTAATTTATATCCTCAAAAACAAGAGCATTCAAAAATATACATAAAACTGTTTTTAAAAAGTTTTTATAAGTTACTCAAACTTCAAAAATTGCTTGAAAATTGTGAACTTTTTTTTTGTCAAAAACAAACAAAAAATTCTTTTTATTTATGTTACATAGCTCTTAAGTCAGGCAATTAACAACACATGCTCCATAGTTTTGAGTGTTTATAAATGCAAGAAAAATTTGATAAAAAAAATACAGAAAGCTAAAAAATTTGACAGAATTAAGGTACAGCAAAACATTTTTCTAATAAGTAACACTTACTTCAGTGATAATATCATTCAATCTTCTTTTCCTAAACAGTAATAGAAGCAACCATTCCATGTATGACCACTTCCAATTTTTTTCATTATCACATTCATCAGTACTATTTATAGAAAAGGCCGAAATACTTTGTAAGCTGCAACGTAAAAGTCGTATAGCTGCCTCTTCAAAGTGAGCATTGACTAGACATTCTATTCTTATCAATAACAGTTCATGAGGCTCTGATGAAATAAATTCTTTCACTGAAATAGGAAATATTATTTAAAAACAGGAAATAAGAGAAAAAAATCTAAGTTGAATTTAATGTGAACAGAGCAATAATGTAGAATTTAGAAGGAAATACTCTCGATTTTTACACAATAACTCATTAAGGTTTTTGATGCATGCTAACGTGAAATGCCCTTCCCCTTCAACATGATATTTAACTTTTTCAGATTTTATTATTTTCATTCAGTCCAAATTTTTTAGGTATTTTTCAAGAGTTATCATTTTTTATCTCTCACAATGCACATATAATATATTCATTCTCAGTAAATTTGCTTTTATTAAAGCTTTATTCAGTCATTCACAACACTAAACAAATGTTAGTTTCATAACTATCAAGCAAAAATCAAATTTATAAAAAAAATGGATTCAAAATATAAATCACGTATTATA